TGTTGGAAAACGTGGGGTTACTGGTTCAGATCTGAAAATAGAATTGTATATATTCCTAGGATTGTGGAAGGATTGATTTAGAAAGTTTTTTCTTTCTATTTTTGTAGTTTCTATTTTCTCTTCTTTCTATTTTTTCTTCTTTCTATTTATTGCAGCAGCTTACTCTATAAATATGCCCATTGGCAATAGAATGAAACATATCAGTATTTTACCATTACAAAACAGTAATATAATCCTTAACTATTCAGGTCAATCTACTTTCCAAAACTCCTTGAGGGCAGAAGTGGTGGCCCTAATCCAAGGATTAAAACTAATGGTATTGCAAGGCTTAAGGAATGTGGAAATGGAGGGTGATTACCAAACAGCTATATGCTAGTTGAAGACCCAAGATCAGATTCCATGGAAATTCAGGCCTATGGTGAGAATGGCTCAATCCCTAGGTGCCAATTTGAACATCTCATTCAAATGGGTTCCAAGGAGAACCAATATGTTAGTAGATTCTTTGAAAAGAATAGCAGTTGGGAGAGATAGTCTTGAATGGGATTGCCTGGGGCTAGGCTCTAACTTGTAACAGATCTTTTTCTTTTCCTATTTCTTGTTGTGTGTTAGGCTTCTGTTGATGGAAGCAGGTGTACATGTTTTCCAACTACCAATTTGTGTGAGCAGCTTGGTGTTTTCTCCTGTTTAATGAATTTTTTTCTTTTTGATAAATTGTTCAATGAAATATTTTCTGTTACTTATCAAAAGAAGGAGGAGGAGGAAAATAACAAGAGGAGAGATCTTCATATGGTTTTATTGATCTAGAGAAAACATATGATAGAGTCCTGGTGGATCTTGGAAAAAAGGGGTTCCAAATAGGGGAGGGGGTAGTGTGTGTGTTCAGATTTTACAGTTACAATGGGTCTTCTGCAAGGTTCAACTCTTAGACTGTGTTTGGTTTGAAGGGAAAAGTAGGGAAAGGAAGAGAAAGGTAGGAAAACCTTTATAAACCTTGTATAGGTTTGTCTACCTTTCCCTTCCTTTCCCTACTTCCTTCAAACCAAACATAGCATTAGTGGTTATTAATTTGCCCTGGTCATAGATGAATTGACCAAACATATTCAGGAAGAGGTCCCATTATGCATGTTGACTAATGACATTGCCTTAATTGATAAAACTACTGAAGGATTAAATTCAAAATTTAAGTTTATGGACAAATACCTTAGAAACAAGAGGCTTTAAAATAAGTAGGACTAAAGCAGAATATGTAAATTTAATAATAATCAGAGTGCAAATCAGTGTTACTTAGGATTAGAGACCAAGAGATAACTCAATGTGGGTCTTTTCCATAACTTGGTTCAATAGTTCATAACAAGTGAGGGATTGAAGAGGACATCACCCATATAATTAGAGTAGGATAAGCAAAACGGAGGGGTGCATCTGGATTCTTATGTGATGAGTGAATACCACTTAAATTAAAAGGAAAGTTCTATGAAACAGTTGTAAGGCCAGCTATGTTGTATGGTGCAGAGTGTTGGGTAGTTAAGAAACATGTCCAAAAAAATGAGTGGCAGAAAATGTGTTTGCTGAAACAGATGAGTGGAAAAACTAGAAAGTATAGGGTTAGAAATGAAGCCACTCAAATGAACCTAGGAGTAGCTCAAATATGTGATTAAATGAGAGAAAATAGACTAAAATAGTTTGGTTGCATGTATAGAAGAAGACCTTTGCAGAACCTATTAAAACAAATGATCTACAAATTGAAGGGCAAGAAGGGGTAGGGGGTAGACCAAAAAGGACATAGGTTGTAGTACTAAAAAATGATTCAAGTGCTAATAATTTAAAAATTGATATGGCATTAAACAGAATGGAATGACGTAACAGGATTCATGTACCTGACCCCATATAGTTAAGATCGGTGTTTAAAAAATCGGACCAGACCGGGCGGTTGAACCGGTTGAACCATGACCCGGGACACTAACCGGTTCGGTCACACCCCAATAACCGGATTTGCTTAAAACCCGCTGAAAACCGGCTGACCGGCCGGTTTAACTGGAAAACAGGTCAACAGGTCCCAGTTTCATGAAACCTCCCGGGTCCATACATAAGTGAAATTTTAAAATGTTGTTAACAAGATTTGAACCCAAGGCCTCTTATTTTCATAAATTACTTAACTACCACTAATCCACCTCTTTACTTATGCTAATAAATGACTATTTATTGTACATATTACATTATTATGCACGTATTTTAAAAAAAAATGTAGGTTAAAAGGCTTGGACCCTAGTCATTTGTTTTAAAAATTAAGAAGCTATATGCATATGCCACGTCATCCCCCTAATGGGATGGTTTTAAATTGTATATACAGTCTCAGTTTCTTAATAAAATTCATTGTTATATAGCAAAAAAATAATAAAAGTATAAAACCACAAATTCTTAACCCAAAAACTATATTAACTTCATAGGAATGGTGGGCAATCCAAATAATACAAAAATATACAAAGTGCAGGCTAATTAATTACGGAATAATCAATTTACATTTATATTTATTTTTGTTACTGAAAATTATGGAAAAAGAAAATTCTATCTTAATCCAGAAATCATATTACATCCACGAATATTAAACAATCAATAGATCTATACAGTACAAAAACAAACTAATAACAGCTCACAACCATTTATAGAAGTATTTGTCTACTGAAAATTAAGAAAAGCAATTTTAATTTGAAATTGTATTAGATATAATGGGAGCACATTTATATCACACAAAAATATACAAACTGGGTACAGCTAATAAATCATTATTTTTTTTATTGGAAACGGTAACTTCATTACTATAACTTAAAATAACTTTCCAGATTTAAGTACAGCTGTCAACCCCCAAGTAGGTGTTGAGCCCCCAGTAATCTATCTTACAAAAGTGCCCAGAACATACTCTCCCTCACAGTTCCTTGTTTAGCCAACAAGTCAGCTAAACCATTAGCTGATCTCCTTGTCCATTTGAAGCATGCACCGATCTCCCTGTTATGTTGAGAATTTCCCTTACGGGGGGGGGGGGGGGGGGGGGGGGGGGGGGGGGGGGGGGGGGGGGGGGGGGGTGCTGTCTATAAATCCAGGCTCCCAACTTACTAGATTAATAAATCATTATAAAACAATTGTGTTACATTTTATTCATTTATACAGTAAATTACTTAGGAATTAAGAAAAACTCAAGTTTACAGTGGAATTTAATAATGGTATATGGTCTGTTCCATCATATAGTTCATCCCAAGAAGCCAACTACTGCAAATAAGGAATTAAAAACACAAAAACATGGAACCAACAAAAAAATGTAAATTCATGGTTCTCAAGCACATTTACAACATAACTAGTATTTTAAGATTTAAATGAAGAAAAAAGAAAAAAGGAAAAAAACTTTAAAGAACTCGATGGTGATGTAATTGCCTAAAGGCACTTCAACCAAAAAAATACAATGATTTGAAGATGTTTTCTTTCAAAAGGACTCTAAAGATTGAGTTGTTTTCCCTCGGGTGGTTTCCTAGTTCCTACCACATTTTAAGGCCAATAAAGGTTGTTTGCTGGGGTTAGAAGTTTCCTTTAGAGTTACAGCTGCAGTAACCTAGCAGCTCAAAGAATTTTAATCCAGAAATATAACAATTTGAAGATGTTATGTTCCAAGAGGACTCTGAAGTCTGAGTCATTTTTCTTTTAGGCCGTTCCAATCAAGTTTCAAGGCCAAAAGAGATTGTTCAACTCTAACATCAGATTGATACCATTCTCCTTCCATGAAAAAACAATATATCTTATATTGGACAATATGTATCAATACTTTTAACCTTGCATAAAATAAGAACGTGATCGAAAGTATCACCTGGATAACGGATGTATATCACTTCATAATCACCAAAGAGAGTTGTATTAATTGGCACCTTCTTGTGCAAAAATCTCTCATAAGTCAGTGTGGCCGTGGTATTATCAAATTTTTCTCCTAGTGGGACGAGGTTAATATCCACCATTGTTCCCTGACCCTGATTATCTGCACTGGCACCCATGATCCTTACTTGACTTTGTTTGAGATATGTCCCTGCTGCAACCTCAATCTCAAGCTCTTGAATAAGAGGAAAGACTGCATATGAAGCAACATCTAGATGGAGCTCAACTTGCATAGGAAATACACAGCCACAAGGTGAACCAATAGGAGTGGAAGTAAATGGCTCAAAACAAGTGATTTGTTTACAACCTGCCAAAGTTACTAATATCATCACATATCATTATACCTCAATCACCAATAAAAAAACGCAAACAAATGAAACAGAACTAAGGTAGCAAAAATATTTAGAAGTAAAACTCGACCTGGACCTTCACTAACTGATGAAGTAGATGGGACTGGGGAAAGAACAGGTCTCTTCTGATGATGATGATGGTGGTGGTGATGATGGTGTTTAGGATTACTATTAGGACTAGAAGCAAACCCTGAAAGAAATACATCGAAAACATAACAAAAACAAAAAAAAAAATGAAGTTGGCAAATATGGTCAACAAAGGCATAAGAGCATGATCTTGAGGTTAAAAACAAATCAAATACCTCGGTTTGTTACATAAGGAGTGGGAACAGGTGAAGATCCAAAAGACAATTGGGGTGGTTTGGATGGAGCAAATGCAGGCCTCATTGGCATTTGCTTTCCTGCAAAGAGAAGTCTAGTAACCTGAGTTACTACATACGATAGCTGATATTCATTAACCAATATAAAATGAAGTGGAAAAAACACCTCGAGTAGATGGTATTATAGGCGGTGGATGTAAGGAAGGTAGTAGGTGGTCAAATGAGATTGAAACTGACTTATCATAGGAATCTTCTCTCCCTGCAACAAAAGTTGGCAAACAATGACAAAGGTACTTGAAAACAGATTAATGACAACAGCTAATCAAGAGTCGGTATCTGAGAAGCTCATATAAATGTCAGGGAAAAAATCTACGTTTGCATAGATGCATCCACCTCATAGACTGCTATAAAAGCCATGAATGGATTAACAAATGAGTTCAGTGTTTACCTAGGTTCAACCTTCAACAATGAATATAGTATGGCATTCTATAATGAATGTAGCGTAGAAAGTGAAAAATAACTACATATCAGATGTTGGTAAACTCTTTTGTTCATTTAGAATCAACAGGAAATTTTCATTAAAAGAAAAGGAAAGTAAACCAAACACCATTCACACATAGGCACCAAAAACATACCAAACCCAAACTAAAATATATCTCAAACAGAACTTGTAACCCCAGAAACACACAAAATCATCCCAAATCCCCCCCCCCCACTAATTCCAAGTTTCCAACTCAAAACCCCAACTTCAAATCATTTAGAATTCACTCCTCTTGCACTGCATCATCAGGCTCAAAATGAAGATTATCAGACACAACTTCAGCCCTTCTCTTCAATTCCATAAAAACTTTTTCTTGCAAACTCACCACCTACAAGTAAAAAAAGGTCCAACAACTTACTTGAACTTGTGAACTACCTCATCCAAATCAATCTTCTTGTCTACCTGCCTAACTTGATCAAGCATCATCTTGTCAAATTTTTTATCTAGGGAGCTTCTTCATAGTCTGCCAAGTCTTTCTTCAATCCCAACTGTAGAGAGACTAGGCCAAATGGGGCCTAGCCCATTATTTTCTTATTATTGTTCTTCCTAGTTGCTTTGTTTGTTAATGGGCTTTTTCCTTTATGGGCCTGTTAATGTTTTTTTAAGTAGATTTATGAGCTGGCCACCCTCTTAAGGGCAGACTTGTAATTTGATTAGTTTTAGAAAGATTAATAAAAGTTAAGAGAGGTAGAAGAGGAGACAATCGAACTCTTCTTCTTTCTCCCTTCTTCTCCATCTTCCTCTTCCTCTTCCTTGCTGTCTTCCTCTTTTCTTTCTTTCCTTGCTTAAATCTGAAATTATGTTGCAGAACTTTATTGAATTAAATCACATCTTGGTATCAAAGCAAGTCTCCCATCCTTCTCTTTGTTTCTTTTTTCTTTCTTTTCCCATACACCCTTTGATTAGAAGAGTGTATGGAGAGATAAGTTGCTGACTGTTCAAAGAACTTTTATGCCTAGTTGGTGGAGGGTTTGGAGAGTTAGAATATGACTGTAGACTGCCAAGAAAGTGAGGCTGCAGTTTTTTGCCCAAAACCCTAGCCGACTAGAGAGTTTCCAGTTACAACTTACAAGTTAAAGAGACAGAAGGTGGTTGCAGTTGGAAGAAGTTCAGGAAGCTCTAGTAGGAGAGATTGCTTCTTCTCTCTTTCTCCCTAGAAGTCGGGTGCAATGAAACCCTAGATTTGGAACCTTCAGGCAATGTTCAAATTTTCGATATGTATCGGGCCGTATCATATCAGGGGCTTCCTGATACGCCCCTATAGCGGGTGTTTCAGAGTTTAAACAGATTTAGGAGGTAGACAAGCCTTAAATCGGCTCCTCTGAACCAGGTTAAAAAATAAAATAAAATAAGGAGCGAGCCCCAATATAGTCCAATACGGCCCTACTGGTGTATCGGGCTGTATCGAAATTTTGAACCTTGCCTTCAGGTACTGGACTGACCTCAATTAGGTCCATAAAGACTTAAAAACCTTGTTCTTGGATATTCGTTGGTCAATGGAGCATCTAGAAGTGAGATGAAGCAAATTCCGATGTCTAGGACTGGTCCTGTAGATTCCGCTTTGACTAGACTAACTACAATCAAACTTGAGGGAACAAATTATCTGGCCTAGGCACAATCTATAAGGATTTATGTTTGTAGTAAAGGTAAACTAGGTTATCTCATAAGCAATAAGGAGAAACCAGCAAAGACCGATCCTACATATGAAAAATGGGTGCAAGAAAACTACACAGTGATTGGATGGTTAGTCAACTCTATGCAGCCTCACATAAGTCACCATTACCTCTGGATGACTTCGCCCAAAGAGATTTGGGATAGTGTCACAAAAACATATTCTTAGAAATTGAATGTTGCAAGAGCATATAAGTTGAAGAATGATGTGAACAATCTGAGATAGGGGGAGAAGAGTGTCGTTGTCTATTATTCTATGTTGAAGTCACYGTGGCATGAGATTGATGTTATGGAAACTGTTGCATGGGAGAGCACCAAGGGTGCAATGACATCCAGGAAACTGGTGGAAAGAAATAGTGTCTTTGAGTTTCTTATAGGACTCAACCATGAGTTTGACATTATGTGACAAAATATTCTAGCCAAAGATGAAGTAACCCTTGCTCAACCATATTCTATGGTGAGTAGTGAAGAGAATATGCGGCAAGTACAGTTATAGGGACCACCTTCAGAGAATTTTGCACATGCTGGAATAAAGCCAAAGGGATCAACTAAGAAAAAGGAGCTAATATGTGAATATTGCAAGAAACCGAGTCTAGGCAAGGGATCTAAACATGAACAATGAAATGTAACATACAAAAATCCTAATCGAAAATCAGATCTAAAGTTCTAAACAATACATCGATTTTCTTAAAGACCTTTTCAAGGAAATGAAACATGAAACTAAGCCCCCAAGGCATCATCAAGGCTCCAAGTCGAGTCTAGGCAATAGAGGTATGCCTTGTCAACTAGGCATCTAGACACCTTCCTTGGGTTTCTTGACCAAGGTTTAAAATGTTGATATCGGTGGAAATACTGGTCATCCAAATAAACAAAACATGTCAGAAATGACAGAAATGTTGTAAAGAAATATTGAAAAAATTATAGACATGGTCAAAACATTGTGAAATATGCAAAAATATAGAATTTTATTTCATGTAATGATAAAAGATACATAGGTAGACCCTTTTAAATTATTATTTTGTTCAAAACCATTGAAACTATATGATAGAATGGGTTCAAGCAAAACTTAAATTCATAGAAAGCGTAAATAATTCTAATAGATCAACCAAATAATTTATTATTATACATTACATTTATCAAAAAATAATTTATTGTACAATAAAAACTAATATTTAACTTCATGTTTGGAAAGAATTTCAAGCTATCTCAAAATGATAATTTTTCTGATAAATGAAAGATTTTATTAAGGAAGAGGACAAAAACAGATAACAATTACAAAGGATACTTAGAGAGGCATGAGCTGCGACCTCTCCAACCCATTAAAAACTAAAATAGATTATAATTGTTCCCTAGTTGCCACTTGCTTGGCTAAGCATTCAACCATAGCATTAGCAGATCTCCCCACCCATTGTATTCTAACATTCAAATTCCTTGTCAAACACTTAATTTTTTTAAGTTCATTCTTGAAATGCCATATGATCTTGATCAAGAGGAGAGAGGAGGAGAAGAAGAAAGAGAGGAGAGAAAGAAGAGGCAAGAAGAATTTTGACCAAAAAACTCAAATTGGCAGTGCCAGTAATTTTGTATTTATATGATAGGGCGACAATATAAAAAATAGAAGATAAAAAGACAAGAGTGCCCCTATGGCACATAACTATAGAGTTACATCACTCCCCCTCGAGTTGGGGCGTAGATATCAATCATCCCCAACTTGTCACAAAGATTATAGTGCCACATGGAGTTTAATCCTTTAGTAAGGACGTCTGCAAGTTGTTCCTCAGAACTGATGTAGGGAGTGAAAAACTTCTCCTTTTTCCAATTTTTCCCTGATGAAGTGTTTGTCAACCTCTATATGTTTGGTTCTATCATGGAGAACAAGATTGGCTGCAATGTTGATGGCAGCCTTATTGTCACAATAGAAAGACATAGGATCACTAAGAGGAAAGCCTAATTCACCCAAGAGATTCTTTATCCATAGAAGTTCTGCAACACCATGAGACATGGCACTGTATTCAGCTTCTACACTCGATCTGACCACCACACTCAGTTTCTTACTCCTCCAAGTAACAAGATTTCCCCCAGCAAAGGCACAATAACCACTAGTAGATTTTCTGTCATCCACAGAACCAGCCCAATCTGCATCAATGTAAACCTCAACTCTCATATGCCCATGTTTTCCAAACAGGAGTCCTGTCCCAGGAATTTCTTCAAATATCTAAGAACTCTGTATGTTGCCTCCAAGTGTGGAGTGTCAGCAGGTTTTGCTCCAAGCTTCCCCGTGTCCTTCAATAGATCTAGAGCATATTTCCTCTGGGAGATGAAGATACCCTGATTAGAGCGAGCAACTTCAATTCCAAGAAAATAACGTAAAGGCCCCAAATCCTTCACTTCAAACCGAGTGGCCAAAAATCTCTTCAATCTCTATATCTCTGAGTCCCAATCACTGGTGATAATAATGTCATCGACATACACAATTAAAGTTTTCATTCTCCCTTGCTCTCTCTTCACAAAGAATGTGTGATCAGACTRGCATTGCTTAAAACCCATCTATTGAACTGCCTTGTGGAACCTACTGAACCAGGCCCTTGGAGACTGTTTTAAGCCATACAAAGATTTCTTCAATCTACATACTTTCTGCTCATTTCCTTTAGCACAAAAACCTGAAGGTTTGGCCATATACACTTCTTCTTCTAAGTCACCATTCAAAAATGCATTTTTAATGTCTACTTGATGAAGCTCCCAATCTAGATTTGCTGCTAAAGAGAGGGGAACTCAAATAGAATTCACTTTTTCTACAAGTGCAAAGTTTTTCGCATAATCAACTCCATACACTTGTGAAAAACCTTTTGCAACTAGTCGGGCCTTGTACCTCTCCACTGTGCCATCTGCCTTATGTTTTTTTTTAGAATACCCATTTGCACCCCCTAGGTTCCTTTCCCTCAGGAAGATCTACCAACACCCACGTGCCATTTTTGTGAAGGGCATTGGTCTCCTCCTTCATTGCATCTGTCCATTCAGGAACAAGTAAAGCTTCTGCAACACTCTTA